GGATGACGACGAGGATACGGTAGGGTAAGAGGTGGTATGGGAGGTGGATGCGGAGGCTTGAGGAAGGTTGGAGACGTCGGGCTTGGTCTCCTCGAACTCGGGGCGGCGGTGGAGGTCGGTACGGTTGAACTTGGGCTAGGGTCGTTAATTAGCTCTTCGTACATCAGAGAGTGCTAGGGAGCGATGGCGACACTATGAAATAGGGGGTAGACGTACTGGGGGAACCTTGATCTTGATCACCTCTTGTGTATAGGACTTGTCGTACAAGCAGTTTCCCAGTAGGTTGCCAAAGTTGCGCAGAGTGCGCTTGACAGCGTCGGTCACCGCTTCCTTCTTGCACTATATGCGCGTTCTAGAGTATTCATTGCGCAAGTGAAATATGGCGCACCTTGTCAAGAGCGGCTCCCTTGCTCTTCGAGTTCTCCAGTAAACCATATCCAACGTCTTCGTGGAACGCTCCATCTCGTAGTGTCACCCGCACTATTGCAGTGACCCCGACGTTGAAGCGTCGTGACTCCTCGTCAAAGTCAATGAAGTCTGTTGTGATGTTGACAACACTCGAGCTCCAGCCGTTGAAGCCGAACCTACAGACAATTGGCTCCCTCTACCATCTGCAGCAGGACAAATGGACGTACACTTCGTTCGCGAGGTTGATGATCTTCCATCCTGCGCCCCGCGAGTCTCGAACATGCATCGTTGTACAAAAGTAGGAGGAACGCACCTTCAGCGTAGGTGAGTTTGGGACCCCCTCCTGGTCCCGGTCTCTGAGAGATGTACTCCGGACCAAGCTTCTTGTCGAGCTTTACCTGAAGCGCGGCGATCTTCTTTGCGCTCTCCTCGGACACGTCCATAAAGGACGGCTCAGAGAAGAGACTTGACTGCGTGCCAAATACACTTGCACCGCCGTTGCTGCTAAACGTGCCGTGCATCTGGGGTGCGAAAGACATGGCGCCGTGTGTGGCAATATGAAGTGGTTGTCCGAAGGGTCCGCGAGGGGATTGTGCAGCCATGTAGGAATCGACCAGGTGTCCGCTATAGGAGCCAGCAGTTGTCATGTGTGTCTAGAGTCAGACCGTCAAAAACAGAGTCATTGGACAAGAAAGGAGAGACAAGATGGGCAAGAGGAGTGGTCGGAGCCGTCGATGCAAGCAGCAGCCTAACACGTTGGAACAGACGCCTGAACGCGTCCAAATCCGATCGCGTATCGGTCCCGTGAGAACATTCATGTCTCACGTGTTGCTGTCTCCAGGGCGAGTCAGCAAGACTCCTCCGACTACTATAGCTATGTAGTACAGTGTATATGAACCTGAGACTCTCTTTGTTCACCCTCCTTGTCCTTCGCTTGTCTTGACTTTTCTAGGTTTTCCGTAGGATAGGCAGTCCTTCCGGGACCAAGGTTGAGGAAGCAGAGTCGCCGCCGCTCTTGGGCTCGGCCCAGTCGTCAGAAGAGTCTCACGTTGACGAGTCACTGGGGCTCGCGCCGCGGCAGCACGCTCCTGACAGGGATTAAAGCAAGGCAGGGTCAGTGTCGACCTTATAAGGATGGCTTGTCTGGCCCTTTATATTAGTTGCTGCGATACACCTTTCTCTAGCTGACCTACAATTCTGGCCCCGAACCGAACGCGTCCGAATGGCATCCAAGCCATATGGCATCCAAGCCATATGCTCTTCTAGCACGAGCATCGTCGTATCTTGCTCTCTACGACAGTATTCAGGAGCCACAACAGCAATTTCTGGAACTGCAACTGGAGTCCTGGCTGTGCGCAGAGGGCTTGCAGCTGTCCATGCTCCCGTGGCTCATGGCAGGACAACAATCCTCCAACTTAGTAGGCACGTGCATCTCCGAAGGTCCCTGTTGTACCAGACACCCTTTCGTTCGTCAGCATGAACAACGGCGACGGATGTGCTGGCACCTTCCAGATATCTCAAACGGCGGCAGAGCCTGGCACCCAGGCGATGATCGATGTCACCGCTTCCTCCTACTCGCAACCAGGAGCAGCCAGGCATGTGCATGTGGGTGTCGCCTACGCCGCAGGAGGAACGAGGTCGAGGGCACATGGAGGCTGGGTCTAGACGCGAGTCGCCTTGATACTTACTACACGAACACAAGCATCTCCTTCTGCAAAAAGACTCCAAACCCGGACGAGGTAGGCGGCTCAACCGAGAACAGACCGAGCGAACCATTGCACGTCGGCATCGACCTTCGATTTCCTTGCTCGTTTGTAGGCTCTAGCTTGTCACACAGGATCAACGAGATGCGTACTGATTTGCCGCTCTACGATCATTACCTCGACACATCGCCCTCGGTACACTTGAGCAAGCTCAATGTCTCCACAGTGTTGGCACGGATCCACTTGGAGGTATGTCAAACATAATCCAAGGCTTTCTTTTCAATGCTGAATCAGTATACTGACGTGCGGGCATCCTGCTGCAGTCCGTCTCTGGAGACGACATTACGTTCAATCAGTATACGAGCAGACCGGCGGAATGTACAACGCCTCGTCCGCATTGCATGCCCAATAAGCAGACGGTCTCGTTAATGTATCAGCCCTCTTACAATACGATAACAATACGACAACTCGTCAGTAGCGGCCATAACACTCAACATCTCAACATCGACCGGGTGGGTTCAAAACAATTCTCTCACCTTTTTTAGACCTTTTCGACCACGATCTAACGTGTCATTTCCTGCCTGCCCCACGTGGACATAGACCTGTCTTCAGCGAGATTGCGCTGGACTCCACCTCCCCAAACATAACGCACAGCAAATTCGACGTCGTCGCAGTCACCGGCCACGCCTCCATCAACCTTACCTTCGTGGCCTCGCCAGTTGACTCTGTTCTCAATATATCTACCGATATCACGACTACTGCCTGCCGGAGAAGGATGAGAACCTCAATCAATGCGCGTTCCTATAACATCGGAAAAAGTGTACGTGATTTCATGTTGCCAAGAAGCTCTACGTTTGAAGATTGTCGACACAGACCAGAAGATATAGCGATAGCAAGACATAATAACGGCAGGACGTGATTCTATATGTTGCATCATAGATGATAGCGTGCTGAAGTAGGGTGTATCCAGACGAACACTGTATGAGCAGCTCTGGGGTGGCGCGCACCATTGCTACTCAGAAAACACCCGTCAAATCGAGTCTCACCTGGAGATCCGTTAGCCAACGTAATTATTCCGTTTTGCGGGATTTCGCAATCATAGCATCGAAGGGTGGGTGGCACACCTGCAACACTCGCTTATCCACTGCTTCTCCGTACTTTTGAAGTGCTTCGGTTATCTCGAGCCTTCTCCCGGTTGCGATTGCCGGACGTGAATCGTCAAAGGCCTGTGGGACCGCAGGGGCGACGATCGCAACGAACATCAGATCCAAGACAAAGTCGCGCTCCAAGCGATGCTCGCCTGGACCATCATCGTCACAGGGTAGTACAAAGTCCTGGCAGGACTTCAGACTTTGCCGAAGGGCGATCAAGCTATTTGTGAGTGCCTTCCCACTAGGCTGTATCGCAAGCTTTTCCTCAATATACTTCGGAAGGTCGCTTGGCTTGAACTTGAATGGAAAGAAGGGAGGAAGGTCGCCACGTTTGTCGAACTGTTCCAACGGAAGTGCTGGTTTGAACGTGGTTACGATGTTGGAGGCAGCAGCGCGGCAAGCGCGTGCGTAGGCGATAAGTCGACGGTAGGAGAGTGCACTGACCCACTCTAGTTCCGGAGCATAGAGATTCACCAACTCTGATACTTGGCTGGAACTGCTCCTCGCAAAAAGGAACGCGCAAGTCCGCGCCTTTCCCTCGAGGGCATGCGCGATGGCGACGAAGTAGAAGCGGAAGGGAGATTGCTCTGCGAATGTCGTCCAATAGTCATGGAGGAGATCGTCGATTGTGACGAAGCGATATTTGTGCATTACGGACAGCATCCGCACAAATGAGTCTGCATCCGTGAATTTGAGACGTCGGAAGGGGTAGCAGTACCGAAGGAGGGCATCCATAACAGCGCTGGTCTCCTGTGCATGATAAACGGGGATAGAGCCCTCCGGATGCTTCTCTTCAATGAGCAAACCAAGGAACGACGGTGACGCGAGGTTGATGACGTATCGGTGGACATAAAAGTCGACACCGTCCCTGGCTTTGATGATCAGGTCCGCGGAGGGATCTGGGGTGTCCGCGAGTGGGCATAGGGTCGACGATGTGGCACCCTCCGTCGAGCACGTCTCCAAGATTGACGAGTGATCCCGGCAGAAAGGAGCGACCTTCTCGACGTGGACAACATGTGTACCGTCAGATTTGACTTCACTGGTGCTGTCTAGTCGAAGTAGACGGAGGTATTGCCCCGCGCTGACACAGTCCAGGACGACGCTGCTGTCCGACATAGACCGGACCAGCTTCTTGATGACAGCTGCCTCAGCAGCTACCTGTGCCTCCTTCTCCAGTCCAAGTTTGCAGGCGGTGGCGAATACCTGCAAAGGGTCGGTGTCGATGAAGCGTGGTTGAATCAGGATGTTTCTCGCCGCATTGATGACGGCCGGGGCCTCATACTTCAGTCCTGCAGCAAGGACTTTCGAGAGGTCGGACAAAGATCCAATGTCGGGGTTAGGAACGGGGTAGCAAATGCGGAGGCATAAATCCATGATGGTACTGTCCTCGACCACATCCACACAGGGTTTACTCGTGAGATTACCTGGAGGTTGGGGGAACTCGAACATGTGGGCGAAGATGGGCGATGCCAGCTTCAGGATAGAGGAGAGAACTGAGAACTCAACGCGGTCACTTGTACGGATCACGAAGTCGGTATCGTCTCTGTCGAATGGCCCTCCGGCTTTGGCAACGGGTGGTAGCTGCTGAGAGTCTGAGGCAGACATCGTGGGGTTTGGTTCGAAATTCGAAACAATGACCTTGTGTGTCTAGCTAAACGTGATGGATGCTGCCTGAGCTCATAATTCAAAGGTGTATTGGTGCACGAGGACATACCTTCAAAGGCTAGTGAGGCTACGAAGGGCGGGACGTCCTATCAGCGATCGCAAGGAGAGGCAGCGAGACCGTGTGAAGATGCCAATGAACCCTATTGTAGCATTGACATGTGGGCGACGCATGTGAAGGCTCCAAGCTTATGTAAGAGAAGCTCGAAAGACCGGCTGGAGTCGCACCATTGTCTCATGTGACTGTGAAATTGACGTGAGTACGACTAGTATTTGAGTTTGCGCGTCTCACTGTGTGCCTTCCAAGGGGTCCCTCCCAGCTGCTCACTTGATGCTGATTGTTTAATACAGCCGCATTCATGGTTATGACGCCGAACAGAGGTCCACAACGAGCAGAACGTACCTCATAGGTATCTCTGAAAGTGAGACAACACAACGGCTTGACTTGATAAATCGCGCTAACTTTGATTCGCTCAGCTGAGATATGAATTTGAATGACGAGCGCAGAGCTTGCTGACCGGTTGGTTTGAATACGGACTGTCCTGTCAAAGTAAGTAAACTGACAGGGATGTGTAAAGGGACGGATCAGTTTACGGGAGGTCGGAGATAGCCGGCTCAGCTTCTCACCACCAAATCGATGGCCAATGATATCTCTCGTTCTCCCACAAACGCTCTCGCCGCCATCGCGCCGATTCGAGAAATGCTCCTACTGGCCGCGTTTCCCCACCTCCTATGTCATTTCCTACTCCAAAAGCGAGCTGCACCACATCTGGAATACAGCATTTCAGTTTCCTCCTGTCATCCAGTGCGGCGTCAGTTCACAGAAGGTCTCCGTCCTGCTCAATTTCCCGCTGTTTGATGTCAATCGCGGCATCCTCCACGTTTTCAATCCTCAATAAGTCGTCTCCCATCCTTCTTGACAACGAAACGGTCTTACGCCCTTCCTCACAGTCGATTGATATGCGAAGGGTGATTCGCTGAAGGCTCGTCGGACAACGATGCTCGAGAAGCTCCAGGCACGAGCGGAAGCTGAGCTGCATACCTTCGGCGAACGCGTCCAGGTGGTACCAGTACCACGCGAAGTCGGTACAAGACGACTAGATGAAGCATGTGCAGGACGAGAAGTCGAGAGGAGTCATTCACAAAGAAGACAAGAATCTTATTGCGTCGGAATTCTGCGGGTATGTCATGAAACGTGTGCGTCGCCTCAGTGCAAGCCACGTGAACCCTCCCAATTCTCGATGACTCATGCATCGTACCCATTCTTCCCCGGTACAACGCCGTAGGCCGGTCCGCCCTTGCCAAACATCTTGCGTAGGTCTCCCGCGAGCTTCTCCGGTACCTCGGAGGCCGCAAAGTGTCCACCCTTGTCGTGCTCTTCGGACTCGAAGACGAGATTGCCGATAGTGTGCGACCATCTACGAGGGTTGCTCGGTGGTGAGTCTACTGCACACCAGGAATGACAAGGAAAACCGTACGCACATTTTAGGAACACGAGCGATTTCTCCAGGGAAATATGATAGTCCGAGAGGGACGCTGGTCCAAGCCGGCCGGGCGGAGATGGCTCCTTTGGCTAGGTTGGACATTTCGTAGTAGATCCGAGTTGACGCGGTCGCTCCAGCCCGCGAGAACCAGTAGATGGAAACCCATTCAAGCACTGGCAACCCGTCAGGACTGAGATCAAGCGCGGCGAATTGGCGTGCATCAACGGCGGTCACGTACCCTCGTCGTCTGTCCAGGGATAGTTGTCCGACCAATCCACGAGCTTCTCGTATATCCAAGCTAAAAGGCCAACGGGGGAGTCTGCGAGAGAGTATCCCAGAGTCTGTGGACGAGTCGCCTGTTGGACGTAGTAGCCCCTCCCGCCAGCCGACCATTTGGCCGATTTAGCGAGTATGCTTTTGGACTCCTGATCGAACGTGAGCGCAAGGAGGGACTGAATATACAGCAGTGGGAACTTCGTGAACGCTGGCGGCGCAGCTCTAGATGAAGGTGCACGACTCGGTCATCGGAATCTAGAACAGGACGATGAACGTACAAGGGCATGTTAGTGTGCCATGCTTTGAGGTGCTTGTGTCCGTAGTAGACTGCTGTGTGCCCTCCGAGCTACAAAGGTCCAGTCAGTGGTCTTTGTTGATGGTCAGTAAGCGCGACAGCACGCACAACATGTCCCCAATCACCTCCCTGGTACACTAGTTACGTTCAGCTTTCATTCCAGATTTATGTAGCTGCCAGAACTTACCATATTCGTCGTATCCGAGGGCCAGCATCAGCTTATTGAGCACCTACACGGACAAACAAGTTGTCGGCTCACTTACGCCCCGACCTGCAAGCTATGCATATGAGTCATACCTCAGCATATTGGCGTGCTGCGAATCCAGGCTTATGTGGCGCCTCAGAAAAACCGAAGCCGGGCAGGCTTGGTGCGACAACATGGAAGCTCGGTTGATCACTCCCGGCGCCAGCCGTCAAAAGGGGTAGGAGCTTCCTGACTTCAAGGAAATGACCAGGCCCTACGAGTTGACATAACACGCTCGATTAGCGTCTTCCCATCAGTACCTGTCACGACACAAGGATACTTACATCCGTGAACGAACAACAGGGGGATTGCGCCTTTGACGTCGCTCCTTTGATGGATGTAGTGTATGTTGAGCGAGCCAAAGTCCTCCACCTCGATGTCGCGTGTGAACATCGGGAGCTTGTTGATGTCGGCCTGGGCCTTCCGCCAGTCGAACGCGGTCTTCCAATATGTCGTCAGCCGCGTGACGTCAGCGAGGGGTGCGCCGTAATCCCATCCTGCACCATCGAGCTCGTCAGGGAAGCGAACGAGCTCGAGCTTCTTCTTGAGGAACTGGAGATCTTCGTCTGGCACGGCGACCTTGAAGGGCTGCTCAGTGTTGGTGGCGTCCGACATGGTTGATGGTGGGGAGAAAGATCATCGGTGAGTGACGAAATGGACGGTGACTTTATGTAATGACCCTAAGCACCGACTTCTCTTTCCCATCTCTTACCGAGCCGGTGCCGCAAGCTCATGCGATTGAATTGTTACTAGTGACTCACAAAGATGAAGCTGCCTTGCACACCATTGTACAACTCGAGTACAACGTAAGGGCGTTCAACCTGATGCATAAGATCCGAATTGACGCCTCTAACGGTCGCCGCAGTAAGACTAAGGCGTTTGAAAGCTGATGGTATGTAGTACCGCGCGGTACCAGTGCAAGCTGGCGTTCTTCGACTGACCGCAATGTTGCAATTGACTCTTGCCATACTGCGGTAGAGGATAAATAGATACAGCACGTGAAGCAAGTTGGATAGATGCTCTCCTCCCGGACAGCGCACTGGCCTAAATCAGCAGCCGGACAGTGCCCTGTTGCTGCAGTCTCGGCAGCCGCCTCTCCAACGCGCCTTCGAGCGCTACCTTGATTGCTCGCGCATCCCTGTCGCTGCACAAGATCTCGTCGAACCCAAACTCCACACGTTGTAGGGCTGGTAGCCCAAGCAGCGCATTCTCCAAGTTCGTCCACAGCTGAGGGTCCCCTTGCATGCCGGGCCCTCCATGCGCGTTCTGTGTCCCGTCTGCACCAAGATCGCGGTCTTGGGCGAGAGTGGTGAATGCTCTGGCTACCTCCACACGGTCGGAGCCCGCGTCCATGCGGACGTGCGTGAGTGCAGGAAGCGCGCCTCGGTGTTCAAAGAAGAGTCTGGTGTAAGCGCGGAGCATGGAGGGGACCATGTAAACCTGGGCGTGCACCGAGTCGGAGCTGCAGCGGAAGCACAACACGAGCGACTCCAGCGCAGCGCAAGGCGCGAGGGAAATTGGGTGCGACGCTGCGAAGAGCAATGGTTGGTAAGTTCGAACATATGATCAACACTAGACGATGCTCACCGACCAAGGGGGTCTCCGGAATATCCCAGTCCATGTTTACCCGCAGATCAAGGGTACGGAACCTGGCGCCAGTGTGGCGCACAAAGTTCGAAAAGACCCGCAAATTCTGGTAGGTGTGTGCGGTGAGACGCATATGAGTGATCCCCTGGCGGTCAATCCAGGCATTGTCCGCGAAGAGGTCGTAAATGGCACTCGCAGAGGGCATATCAACGCTTTCGATGTCTAGAGACTGTATGATGGGGGGCTTGAAGACGGCTCGGGGCAGGAGCAATGTGGGTGCAGATATCAGCAACCCCATGTGACCCCCGATGCGAAGCGAGCGGATGTCGCAGAACAGACATATGAGTGCGAGAAAGTGGCGCGGATTCCCCCCCGGCGCGGAGCAGCAAAAGAGGGTCAGCTCATCCAGCCTCCGGGCAGGTCGTTCGACAGGGACATCTGGTAGGTCATCTATGACGTGAGAAAAGTCTAGTGACAGCGACCTCAGTTGGGGCAACTTGTCCATGAGAGCACAGAGAAACCTGAGGGTAACCCGGGAGTTGTGGGGCCCGCCGTTCATGGTCAGCTTTCTGACATATGTTCCAATGGCTAGAGGGGGTCGTGAGGGCGACTCGGATTTTGAGAGGCATTGGAGGAACTTGGTCAAAGTGCCTGCGCGTCCGTGGGTAGGAGGTAGATGATTAATGGTGACAGTATGGAAGAGATGGGTGCGGCTAACGGCGAGCCACCGGAAGCAGACGAGGGAGCAAGCAGACATCGATGTTTTGTCATGTCGGAGAAGGTCGATGATGGTGATTTCGAGTTCTGGAGGCAGGGATGGGAATGTATTGAAATTCATCTTCGATGATCGTCCGAAGTCACCTCGACCTGATGGACCACAGGCTATACCTATGAATCAAGTTCAGGAGGTACGAAGAATACAGGAGCAGCCCTTTATACGCACATACGCGCCCTTTATGGAGACGTTCTGTTCTAAAGAGAGTATGGCACTACAAGCCTATCTTGGATTCGTCCCTGTGGAAGTATGAGGCTTGTACTTACCAGGAGGTATTGCTGGCTACGGTTGGTGCCACGACGGCTCTCAAATTGTAGTCTTTTGAGCGTGGGACTCATGCTTCGGCTGCTTGCTTGTGTTTGGTCCGCCGTCTGACGCCGGCTGACCCGGCGGACGGTACCGTAAGCACCTTGAGGAGGTCCCATTGGACGGTCTTATACTACGTGTTGCCTCCCAAAACGTACCGTATGGTTCTCTTATACCTCTAGCTTCCAGGCTTGGATTTCCTAGTACTCAGATGGGGGATGTCTTGCTCCGCAGCCCCCAAACATGCAGCTAGGCACTCGCCAGGCTAAGGAAGTTGGCAATGCCAGTCGGACTAAGCACAATCGAGTTGTCCTATCAGACGGTCAGTGTTTGCATTCTGATATATCGTTCTATATTCTGACTCCAGAAAGTACGATTATGGTTCATCATACGAACAAAGCAAGATACACGATACATATGTGTGATCCGGGCTATCAGAACCCCTGTGACTCAACAGGAGGGATTGGCAGCCTGGAGTATTGCGAAACAAATGTATGTACGTAGAACGCGACCGCCGCCCGCTGAACCTCTTGGTATTCTTCCTCAAGCAGGTTGCCTTTGGCACCCTGAACAATCATCTCGGGGCAATCCGGCCAGCGCACCAGCACTCGCGCGAAGGCTCGCAGGTGCTCACGGCACGTCTCCCACTGTTCGTTTGGAGGCGAGTACCAACAGAATACGCGTTGCTCGCGATCAATGGGGGCAGCTACTTACGCGGCCGACGAAGAAGATCCCCCAACGCCAGACACCAGCATCTTCCGCTCCCAGCGATTGATCTCCATCCAGTCCTTCTTTTGCACACGCAAGGTATCCAAGGCCAAGAGCTCTGCTCGGAAGTTGACCTCGTGCGATTCCCAGAGCAGATCTGCCCGAATGGACGGATCCTGAGCGATCATGTTCAGGTCTACGGCGAGGCCACGGAACTCGACGACGACGTGCGCGTTGTAAGAATCCATGTCCGCCACTTTGTGACATAGGGCTGCGATACCGTTGCGCTCCTCGAGACGTCGCTTGGCGCGTCGCGCATCGGCACCCTCGGCACCGTTCCGCACGCTGCTCTTGGCAAGATACTGGCCCCATAACGCAGTGCGCCATTCAGCAATCGTCAAGGGGCGGTTGTCGAGACTGACGTCGAACAAGCGGGCGCGACAAAACTCGCGGATCCGAAGGAGGTTGTGAAGATATCGGTGGACCTTGCCGTCCACGCGAACACGGTCTTGATGTGCACATCCAGGGGTCGGGGTCACGGCGTCGGAGACCGTATCGAGCAGATACGGCAGTGGGAAGAAATCAAGAGCAGAATTGGCTGTCGGCGGCACCGGACTGACAGCCCGCAAGGCATCCGCCCAGACAGCAGTTAGGTCCACAAAGGGGGAAAGCACAAGGCAGCGCGCAGAGTGTTGGAATCCGATGGATCTCGCCTGGGCGGAAGACGCCTCGGGCTGGTGAATACTCTGCCCCGTCAATGAACTTTCTGCGGAGACTTGGTCCTGACTTTGTGCGTGTGCCATTCGTCGTCGCTTCCGTCGAGACAGTTTTGAGCCTTCCGAGGCGGGTTCCGCTGAACGCATAGTGAAGTGGCTCGACACGATGTCCTTCACCTCCAACCTGGGATGCTTGTTACTCACGTTTTCAGGCGGGGATCGACGGGAGGCTCAAAAAAGACAAGTGGGAGCCAGTGTTGTGTTTAGAGGCGGACGCGACCATGCTGCTCACCCAATTGCCGGTCAGGTTCGACACGCCGCCCACGAACGCGCCAGCACGATGCAGTATCGGTGGGTCACAGGCCTTCGACGACAACCAGAATGGTAGCGCATCCTCTCCGACAACCTTCCAAACTACGACGTCCGAGGTGAGCGGCTGCAGCACCCAGTACGGAATGCCGACTCGATACCAGGTCTGGGTGACATCTGTTGAACCCGGGGGGCGAAGGCCTCTCCCACGGGTGGCAACGACAGCGGATAGCCTGCAACTCACCTAGAAGGGTTGTTGGTTGCAAGAGGCTTGTTAGAGCGATGAGAGGAGATGTTCGAGTGAACTGAACTGTAGATTGGGGGTACAGAGGTCCCCTATATATACTACTGTACATCTGTGGCTACGTAGTACTATACAGTACCTTCCCAGGATGCACAGTCGCACAGAGAAGCAGTGCGTACACAGCAAAGCTGTGTGTGTACCACATGAGTAGTACAGCCTCGGTTATTGCAGTAACCGGCTGTGCCGTTCCATATCTTGTGACGGCTGTATTAGGCAAGCTGTGTAAACCAGCGCCTGT